TTGTTTTCTTGATGAATCCCAATGCATATACAGGAGCATTAATTTGCCCTTTCTATTTCTCTCCATGAGAGCAGGGCACACTAGCTGCTTCTAGTCCACCATCTTGGCCATCTCCCCAATGTATAACTCTTGACCCGTCAAAAACTTAACTACTGATAGCACACTGTTGATTGGAAGCCTTACCAATAATATAAACAGTTAATTAGTATGTATTTTATATGCTATGAGCATTATATATTGCATCATTACAATACAGTAAGCTAGTAAGGAAATGCTGTTAAGAAAGTAATAAGAAAGAAAATGTATTTACTATTCATTAAGGAGAAGTGGATCATCATAAAGGTTTTCATCCCTGTCTTCTTCAGATTGAGTAGGCTAAGGAGGAAGAGGAACAGGAGGGGTTGGTTTTGCTGTCTGGGGTGCTGGAAACTGAAGAAAATTCACAAATAAGTGGACCTGTGCAGTTCAAATCCGTGTTGTTCAAGGGCCAACTGTACAAGAGAAGCAGCAGCTGTGGACACAGAGATGCTCGCGGAGGTGCTATCTATGAAGGCAAAATGCCACAAGCAACATCAAAAGTGCAGGAATACAGGAATAATTAAACGAGTTGTCATGCACTTCCTCAGAGGAAGCACAATCACAATTCTTATGAAAAACAGAAACCACTAGAAATGTGAAGTGTTTATGGCATAAGTTTCAGCAAAAAGGGTAGCATAGAAAATTGAGAGCATATTCTGATATGATTTATAAATTATATATGAATAGGAATTATAGAATACACAAGAATAGGTAGAATTACTGAATTTTTTCAAAACTGTTTGGAATATTTCTTATATATATATACTAGTACATATATAGAAGTATTAATATAAGTACATATATGTACATATATATACCTCTGCCTCCTGGGTTCAAGCTATTCTCCTGCCTCAGCCTTCCGAGTTGCTGGAATGACAGGCACCTGCCACCACACCTGGCTAATTTTTTGTATTTTTAGTAGAGACCTGGCCATGTTGGCCAGGCTGGTCTCAAACTCCTGGCCTCAGGTGATCCTCCTGCCTCAGTCTCCCAAAGTGCTGGGATTATAGGCATGAGCCACCATGCTGGCCTGGAATGCTTACAATACTTTAATAGTTAAAAGTGGCAAAGGGTTGGGGAGAGAATGGCCCTCCCAAAACTCCATGCTGAGAAAAAAAGGGATAATGTATCTAAATAACCTGCCAGAGTTCTGTTTTTGCCACAGACATCATTAACCCACTGGGGGCTTTTGTGCAAATTAGGAAAAGCAGCCCCTCTCAAAGTATGCTCTTCCTAGAATGCAGACATTTCCTTTGTCTGGAGCTCTCTTCAGAGCCTTGATGTCTTCCACAGGAGGCTCGTGAATATAGGATTCTTCGAGGAATATGTTGGCAGAATTGCCAAGAAGGCAGCTATTGTAGACCCGAAGATTAACTACTTTAGGCAGTATGCAGATGAGAACTAGGACAATGAGTTGAATAAACAAATATGAGTCATATAAAAGCTGAATTATATGGCATGATACAGTGGCCCCTGATCTTTTTTGGCACCAGGGACTGGTTTCATGGGAGACAGTTTTTCCACAGATCAGGGAGGTTTTGGGGTGAAACTGTTCCACCTCAGATCATCAGGCCTTATTAGATTCTCATAAGGAGCGTGCAACCTAGATTCCTCATATGCACAGTTCACAATAGGGTTTACATGGCTGTGAGAATCTAATGCCACTGCTGATCTGACAGGAGGTGGAGCTCAGGCAGTAATGCTCGCTCACCTGCTGCTCACTTCCTGCTGTATGGCCAGGTTCCTAACAGACCACGGACCAGTACAGGTCTATGGCCCAGGGTTGGGGAACTCTGATATAATAGAAATTAGATCTCTCTCCCCCTGACATCAGCAAGTTATATACTTTCTAAGCATTACTCTCCTGCCTACTGAAAACTATATTTAGACTAAACCAAGAAAGATACTGCACTAAAGGTCTCACAAAAAGATACAAGTCTCAGAGGTAGAAGAAAGTAAATTTGCCCCACTAGGCTGTCTATTCCTCCACCAGACACAGTACCATTGCAGGCCTGTGATGAAGGGGTGAAGACAAGGGTCCATGGTGCTGCAGTAGGCCCCAGAGTCCGGAGTCCTGGGTCCCTTGCAGGGCAGACCCTTGTTAGCTTTTCATGTCTGCATGCATCAAAGGAACCTAGCATGGACCTCAGGCAGCTCACAAGATGGGCTGTGTCTTTCCATGGGGACTACGGATATGTGAAAGCATTCAGGAGCACATAAAACATGTTCTCTAAGAGGGAGCCTTTGTATTCAGCTCCCTGTGGTCAGGGACGGCATTTTTGGAGCCAAGCTCCAAAAATATTTGAAGAGTCAAACCACCCCAGCATACTAAAGAGAAATGAGAAAAGGTAGTTTCTGCTCTGGGTGAAGAATCAGTGAGAAAGTTCCTCCTCCCTACCTTGGTTCCTATACATCCTAGTCCCATCAGACTTTGCTGATAAGTCTTCTTTGACACATGTGGGAAACATTTTCACTAGAGGTTAAAGGAAGCTGGTTTGGGACTGAAGCAAACAGCTATGCAAGGTCATATCGAGTTCAGTGCAGAATGTCACATCTCAAATGTTCTTTCCACATCCTTCTGCTGGGGCAGTGGCCTCTACTGAACCTGAAGGTGTGATTTCTCTTGGGTGACATGGAGTGCATGCCTGGCAACGCCTCAAGAGCTGCAGGGCAGAGTGACACAGCCCCAGGGAGTGGCTACCTTCACTAGGAAGCAGGTTTCTAAAACCAGCATTTCAGGATCCTCCAGGCATCCCTTTGGCCGGCTCACCTCCAGCTTCTGTGTCCTATAGCACAGTATTTACTGACAGGGAGAGCCCCTCTGCCAGCCAAACCTGCACAGTGCCCCAAGCATAGGACAAGTGGGTGACCAAGGGCTATGTTACAGGCCCCTTTCCAGCAGCCAAAGGACACACGTCCCAAATTTGATGGGGTTTTTGCCCTTGGTACACATAGACTTTCAATTTTCTGGAGTAACTCCCCCTTTTGTTATGGTTTGGTAAACAAAAGGCAGTCATCAGGAAGCTACTAATACAAATGTCACCATGCACATCACCCTGCCGAAAACCACCAGCGGCCTGTTCAAATGCCACAGGATATTGAGAAAATGATGAGGAGGCACTGGAGACAAAAAAGCCTAGCTTCTCCTCTTCCTGGTCATGCTGCAGACAGCTTACTGTCTTGGCAGCCCTCCAACTCTGCTTCCTTTTCTAGAAGCTCTAGGTACCCAGGCTGCAAAGCTATGCCTGCCTGTCTGCTCATTCCAAGCACGTTTGCACTCTGCTTTGAAGGGGGCAGCCATAAATAAAGCACAGGCTGGGGATTCCTGGACAGGTTTAGCATAATCACAGCCCTTCCTTTGAAAGAAGGAACCGTATTCTGAGATGTGCCTGTGACTGGTGGTTTAACTTTAAATCTGTCACCGGTAGCTGGCCAAAAGGTTTTATTCTCTGTAACCCCCAGTTTGGTAGACAAGCCTTTTTCAAAATGGAAATGTCTCCCTGATCCGCTGACAGGCAGTTTGGAGATGGTATGCTGACGCCAGTCAAAGCACGCTGTGGTGTTCTATTCTTCTTGCCGTGGTGCAGGCTACGTCCTCTGCCCCAAGGAACATCCACTCAAGGCCAAGTCCAACTCTCTAAGATTCAGATCAGATCCCTTCATTTAACGAAAATAGATTAAGCACTCCCTTTGTGAGCCTGAGAGACGTGCTCTGTGCCATCATTGAACTATCAGTCTGCCAGGGAAGATGACAATTAACAGTGATATGTGTGCAGCCTACGGATGTATCTGCTATGGCAGTAACTTCATCTGAGTAGGAGTTAGAAGGTGACAGAAGGAGGCCGGGCACGGTGGCTCAAGCCTGTAATCCCAGCACTCTGGGAGGCCGAGACGGGCGGATCATGAGGTCAGGAGATCGAGACCATCCTGGCTAACACGGTGAAACCCCGTCTCTACTAAAAATACAAAAAAAAAAAAACTAGCCGGGCGAGGTGGCGGGCGCCTGTAGTCCCAGCTACTCGGGAGGCTGAGGCAGGAGAATGGCGTAAACCCAGGAGGCGGAGCTTGCAGTGAGCTGAGATCCGGCCACTGCACTCCAGCCTGGGCGACACAGCGAGACTCCATCTCAAAAAAAAAAAGAAGGTGACAGAAGGATTTCACTTCTCCCCAAATCCTTCCTGGCTTTCCCTGGGCACTATGATTGCTCCCTTCTTGTGTTTTGTCAAAGGCACATATCCCATCTGCTCACTGTGTGATATTTCTACACGTTGCCTGCCTCCCATCCCCCTCACCCTTGCCATTTTATTAAGAGGCCTTCAAGGTCACGGACTGTCCTATGAAATAATTATCTGTCAAATGTTCAACAATTGAAATAAATAAATCTCGGAAAATTTTTTTGCTCTGAAAAGCAACTGTTGTCTGCCTAATACTAAGTGATCAATAGGTTTTTAAAATCTCTGAGTAATCTCAGCATTGACAGTGTATTTGACTATATGGAACGAGCACACAGATCCATGTGGGCGAGCAGGTGAACAAAAGCAACATTAGTAGTTAACGCAAGGATGAGTTAATGGAGGCAATGGGGTGAGGGAAAGAGGGTAGGATGTCTTCACAGCCACTGAATCGGAGGTTAAAACAGCCAGCAGCAAAGGCTAGGGCAGAGGCAAATATCAGGGCAGATTTCACCCTAGTGTTTCTGAATTATTTGCATTCAAATAATGAGGCAATTTACTGAAATTGTGTGGAAGTTATTTCAATGCCGCAAAGATATTTAAAATTGTATTAACTCATTTGTACAGAATGCTGAATACTACATCTTGATAGCAATTAGCAATACAGATAGCATAACTCAATACAGTTATGATATGATCAGTTGCAAATATCCTAAAACATTCTCAAATGTTAACGTATAAATGAATTACCTGGGTATCTTGATAAAATTCAAATTCTGACTTAGTAGTGGGTTGTGATTCTGTATTTCACACAAGTTCCAAGGTTCCATTGGTCCACACATCTCACTTCGAGTAGCCCCCACTAAAAGGTCAGGAGAACAAGTTGTGATTTTGACAGAAGGCACTATTTCTCTTCTTTTAAAATTGTATTTATCTATTACATATTTTCAAACTGTGAAATTAATGGTCATTATGGTGAATTTGGGAACTGTAAAACCTGCTGTGAAAAAATATTAAATCATCTTCAATCTCAACATCCAGAGATAATCAGTATAAATATTTTGACGTGTTTTCTTCTAATCCCTTTTTCTTTTGCATCTTACTCGCCACAATTTTTCTACCTTGATACTGTTTCTTTTCAAACTGTAGACGTTCCACATGTTGTTATTTGAAAAATATGGTTTGTATCATCCCATACATTCAAGTCCCCCAGAGCACAGAAGTTAAAGAAAGAGTACCTGCCCTTGTTTTCTAGTGAAAGAAAATAGTAAATACACAATCAGGTAATACATAAGATTGAACAGATAAAATTCTGATTTTGAAGCACTTTATAATATTCTATTTTACAGCTGATTATAATAAAGTTAACCAATCTTTCCTTCAGACATTCAAATGATTTCCTTTCTTTTGTTCTTACATATACATGTATGTTTTAAATATATAGACTATGTGGAAAATCCTTGCAGCCCAATTTTTGCATAGTCCTCTGATGATTTCCTTCAAGTAAATGACTGTAAGTGAAATTTCTGGGTCATAGGGTGTGTAAGCTTTTAATACATATTGTCAAATGGGACCCCAGACATGTTGTACCCATTCCTGCTCTTACCAGCAATCAGCAAGGAGTCTGGAAAGCTTCACCACATCTTCACCAGCATTGGGCATTATGTGTTTTTACATTTGTCAGGTTATTTTTGTTTACATTCCCTTTCTGCTTATGAGGTTAAGTATTTTCATGTGTATATAAGCCATTTGATATTTTCCTTTGTGACGTATCTGTTTATTTTCCTTTGTGACATATCTGTTTATTTTCCTTTGTGATGTATCTGTTTATTTTCCTTTGTGACGTATCTGTTTATTTTCCTTTGTGATGTATCTGTTTATTTTCCTTTGTGACGTATCTGTTTATTTTCCTTTGTGACCTATCTGTTCCTTTTGCCCATGCTGCCTTGGGAGTGTTTTCCTCTTATTAATTTATAACTGCTCTTTATGGATTAAATATATTAACCATTTGCTATACATTTTGTAAGTAGCTTTCTACTTTGTTGTCTTTTAATTTTCCCTTTTTAAAAATTCTACAGAGTTTTGAACTTTTAAGTAGGTCATAGCTATTGATCTTGTCCACTGTGAATTTGTCTTCTGTTTCTGTATTAGACATCGACTTCCCTGCAACCAGATGAGAATAATATGGATTTATGTTTCTTCCTAGTTTTGTCACATTATGCATATATGGAAAAGGTATAAGGCAGGGTCGTAAGAAAATTCTCCTTTCCAGTGATACAGTTTTCTAAAACCGGGTTGTGCTGCAGGTTTGCCCCCAGAAAACCAGGAACAGGAAAACACTGAAGGTTGACATACCTTTCGGGATAATGATATGAGTTTGAGAAGGCAGCGTTTTTGGTTTGGATCCGTTACGTGCATACTTCTCCATAGGAAAGAGACGCTAGCGTCTTTCACCTATGCTTGGTATGTATGATAGACAGAATGATGACCCCTCCAAAGATGTCACAGGCTAATCCCTGAAACCTGTGAATACATTACCTTCCCCAGCAAAAGGAACTTTGCAGACGTGATTGAGTTATAGATCTTGAGAAGACAGATTATTGTGGATTATCCAGGTGGGTTCAAAGTAATCATAATGGCTCTTATAATAGGGAGGGAAGAGGGTCAGAATCAGAAAGAGAGGTCATGGAAAATGAAAGCAGAGGTCAGATAAATTTTAAGATGGCCTACTACTCACTTTCAAGGTGGAGAAAGGGCTATGGGCCAAGGAATATAGGTGGCCTCTGGAAGCTGGAAGGAAACAGACTCTTCTCTAAAACTCAGCCCTGCTGACACCTCAGTTTTAGGACATCTGACCTCCAGAATGGTAAGCCTCTAAGTCTGTGGTACCATAATTTGTTACAAACGCAATAGGAAACTAATATAGGATCATCAGAGTACAAGTCCAATCTCTACAGAAGTTCCTGAATATGATTGCTTCCCAGCCTGTGTCCAATTCAACTGACTACCACCCGGATAACAGGATTAATTTCATCATCAATGCAAGGTCCCAGAGTACTGATAAACCTTACCCAGAATGAGACAGTTGGAGTTGTTGCCTAAAAGTAAAAATCATGGGGTAGGAACTTGAGGCTTTGGGTTCTTCTCCTTCAATTAGCCCAGATTCTCTTACGAATCCTCAGAATATTTCATTCTAATTAGTTTTTAATAAGGACAAAAGCAGCACTACCTTTTAGGGTTATTGTGAGGATTAAATGAGTTAATACATACATGTATATCCCTCAAAACATTGCCTGGCACATAGAAAGCATTCAGTAGGTGTTAGCTATTGTTGCTATTTGTATTAGAGTTCTCCAGAGAAAAACAGAACTAATAGGGTGTGTGTGTATATGTGTGTGTGTGTGTGTGTGTGTGTATACAGAGACTGTATTTTAAGAAATTGGCTCACATAATTCTGGAGCTGGAAAATTCAACATATGCAGGACAGGCCAGCAGGCTAGAGACCCAGGGAGGAGCTGATGTTACAGTCTCAAGTCCAAAGGCAGTCTGGAGGCAGAATTTCTTCTTGCTCAAGGGAACTAGGTCTTTTCTCCTAAGGCCTGATTGGCTGAAGCCCACCCACATTATGAAGGATAATCTGTTTTCCTCAAAGTCTACTAATTTAAATTCACATCTGAAAAATATTTTCACAGCAACATCTACGCTGGTGTTTGACCGAACATCTCAGCACCATAGCCCAGCCAAGCTGACACCTAAAATTAATTATCACGCCATCTTTTGTTTGTTTCCTATCTCATTTCAATGGCTACAACTTCCAGGAAAATATTTAAAAGTGAAGATAATACTATTAAATAATACTAAATAGTGAAGGTCACATATTCTTAACATATTTCCAGTTCTAATGTGAACACTCTACTACAGTATGTCTCCAGTGACTATTTGTATAAGTACTGTTAAGGAAGTACTCTCTTTTCCTACTTTACAATATTTTTTAATCACAAATGTGTATCATCTGCTAAGATGATTATGTAATTTTTTTCTTTTGTCATTTTGAAATGACATATTTTCTTTATAGATTTCCCATTAATAAACCATTCCTTACATTTCTATGGTAAACCTTACTTGCTCTGATTATAGTTTTTAAGATTTCAATTTAATTATTTAATTTAATGTAAGGTATTAAGAATTTAATTTCAAAGTATTTCTGCTCATTTTAAATTTGTCTTCTTAAGTCAGTGTCAGTTGCATCCGAAGAGTTTTGTGTTTTTAATAGTTCTGGCAGAGAGTTTGTTTGATGGTTTTTGTCAAAATGTTATACGATGGTTTTAGTTTTGCTCACTTCATAAGTGAATTGGTAAGTATTCCATCTTTCTCTGTGCCATGTAGCTATTTATGAAGCATGGGATTAAACATTTTCTCAGTAGCAAGATATACAGACTCTCCGATCACAAAAGCAGTTTGGTGTCTCCTTCGCTTGCAGATTTCCCTTCATCAATTCAATATTGACATTATATAAATTCATTATTGCACCAAATGTTAATTCAATATTATGCTTAAAAAGTACCTACACTTACCTTAAAGAACACACATTACTTTTTACTTTGTCTTTTGGATCTCATATCTACCTTCTCTCACTTTCTATAAACTTTCCCTTAAAAAACAAAAACACTTTCCCTAGCCTGAATAACCAGCTGTTATTCAAGAGGGGTGGCCAATAGAACCTGGGTCTCCTGATGAGCCACTCTGCGTTAGGAATCAATCCCGAATTCTTTGACAAGTGGTCACTTTCTTCTTCAAAAACATCCCTGTCCCCAGCTTCTCCTACACCAAGGCCAGCTTAGGCCTCCTGGGTCTGTGCTTCATGTGGTTGCCTACAAAACAAACTCAAACAAACAAAAATAAAAAAACATGTGTGGCCACTTCTGGCTGAAGGAAAAGTTCAGTTTTGGCCTTGGGTGGTCTTAGTGAGGACAGTCCAGAGTTCAGAGCTTGTCTTCAGGGGACTGAGCTGCCACTGAGAAAAAGCCCTCAGTGGCTTCTGTTTCAAAGTGAGGCTGGCAGATGGAACAGCCAATTCTGACTCAGAAGTTAAAAGCCTGCCCCACTGCACCACACGCTGCCCCTTCACAGCAGATGGCTGAGATGACGATCTCCTGTGTTCCCAGACTCCAGAGAGGCTGCAAGCCAACTGCAACATTGCTCCCATACCCATGAAGGCCAGGCTTTTACACGTACTGCTTCTTTATATTCAATTCACATTTTGCTTTCTGGTGAGGGATTTTTCAACAGTCAAACAACTGAAAATTATTTTCATGAGCCAGCACTGTCCAAACAGGGGTCTGGGAGGACAGTGCTGTCTCACAGATGTCAAGAGGCGTTCCAAGAAAAAAAAAAAAAAAGGTTCTGTCTTCAAATCAATGTGAGAAGAGCTGTGTTAAATAAAACTCAACTAGTTTCTTCACTACATATTGATGTTCTCTGTGACCTCTGAAACCTTTATTTCACAGTACACCTATTAATATTTCCAAATACACTATTGTTGGGTAGAATATATTTGGGAGAAAATTATCTTAGGTAATCATCATTATTATCATCACCTATAATTACTGAGTGCCTACTAGGTATTAAGTACTGTGTTAGGCATTTTACATGCTATGTCTCATTTAATCCTTGCAAGATCCCTAGGAAGTGGGAATTACTGTCTTCATTGCACAGTGGCATAGAGAGGTTAAGTAATAAGCTCACAACGAGAGCACTAATAAATCATCAATCTTAATTTGCACCCAGGCCTGTCTGATTCTAAAGTCTATGTGCTTAATCAGTAAGCTACAATTTTTATAGCTTTACTGTAATTTGAAGTAC